AGTCGAAGCTGTCACTTTTGAGGAAGACTGGCAGATGCTTGAACCACTGAAGCACTGTGGAGGGATAATCGGCTGTGCTGATTGGACAAATCTGTGGGTAGGTGGTCTTCCCTAAACACAGATCCTTGTGGTATATAAAATGGGAGACAAGGCCTGGGAAGGTAGCTCAGTGGTAGAATGCTTGCCTCACATGCATGAGGCCCTGGGTTTGATTCCTCAGCACCACATAAGCAGAAAAAGCCGGAAGTGGTGCTGTGGCTCAAGGGGTAGAGCGCTAGCCTTGAGCTGAAGAGCTGAGGGACAGTGCCCAGGCCCAGAGTTCAAGCCCCATGACCACCAAAAAATAAAAATAAAAAACAAAGTAGGAGACTAATTGAAAGGGTAACCTTTGTCTTCAGGTGAACATTTTGGCTTGTGCTAAGGTTCTTGAATTTAGTAGGCTTCTTTCAGCGTTATCTAGATGATTCCTATCAGGGCTGGATAATAGTAAATGTGTGCTGCTTGGGAATTTAAAGCTAGTATTAAATAGTCGTTGGATAGGAAATGGGTTGATGTGTGTGTGTTGATACTAGGTCTTGAATTGAGGGACTAGGCACTGTCCCTTAACTTTTTCGTTCAAGGCTGGCACTCTACCACTTGAGCCACAGCTCTACTTCTGGCTTTTGGGTAGTTAATTGGAGATGAGTCTCATGGACTTTCCTGCTACAGCCGGCTTTGAACCAAGATCCCCAAATCTCAGCCTCCTGATCTTAGCTAGGATTTATGCATGAGTCACTGGTGCCCAGCTGAGAAGAAAATATTTTCTAGACATGATCAATCTCTCCCTCCTCCCTGTGGCAAAAAAAAAAAAAAAGAGTTACTGTAAGGACGAAGCTCCAGCTAACGCAATGGTTTGTCAGGAAGGGTGGAAATAGTAATAGAATATACCTGGTGGGAGCCTCAGAGGGAAAAATAGAAAAAGTGAAAAGGATGGCGGTAATAATCATAAACAGTCAAAAACCTGGAATTTTCCAGGGCTGGCTGCTGCCCTGCTGGCTACCAGCATTAGACTCAGAAGGGCATGCTGTCAGAGCGGGCCTCAGACAGTAGCTGGGAGCCCCGCAGGGCTAAGGATTTTTGGTACCCTGCCTCTCCTTATCTCTCCCTCAAGGCTGTGAGGAAAAGGGAAAGGAAACAACTTTCACCTCCTCCCAAAAATTAAACCTTCCCACGTACCAGCTCTTCTGCAGGGAAAGAGCCTCGGCCTGATCTCTGGTAGGCCGACGGGCCTGATGGGTGGCTGTGGCCCGGCCCTGCAACCCTGCAGCTGTGCTCAGGCAGCAGAGCCTCTGCTGCTCTTCAGCAGTGCCTGCTTCCACTGGAACAAGGCCGCTCTGCCAGGACCAGCCATTCTTCCTTCCAGGCCTAGGGATCTGCTTAGACTATCAACTTGGACTGTTAGACTATTAAGTACCAGGAGATCCTTAGGACTGATGTGTTTTTTTTTTTGTTGTTGTTGGTCGTGGGGCTTGAACTCTGGGCCTGGGCGCTGTCCCTCAGCTCTTCAGCTCAAGGCAAGTGCTCTACCACTTGAGCCACAGCACCACTTCCTGTTTTCTGGTGGTTCATTGGAGATAAGTGTCTCACAGACTTTCCTGCCTCGGCTGGCTTTGAACCACAATCTTTAGATCTCAGCCTCCTGAGCACCCAGCTTTTCTTTTTTCTTTAAAGGTATTTTTCCTTAAAATTTAAAATTTGTGGAAACCCTTATCCCTCCCAAAGAGTTCAGAAATATAGACATTTTTTCATTTAAAAAATGTGTTAGGTTTGGCACAGTGGCAGGTGCTTGTAATCCTTGGAAGGTAGAGGTAGGAGGATCAATACCTGAGATTGGCTCCTAAGGAAAAAAAATGTAAGATCATCTGGAAAATAAGTGACACAAAAAGGGTTGAAGGTATGGTTCAACTGTAGAGCAAGCAAGCTTGAGGCCCTGAGTTCAAACCTCAGTACTGCCAAAAACAGTCACTTTGATAATGGTAAAAGATGACAGAATAGACATTAGGCCACTTTGGGCAGGCAGTGAAATCCTCAAACAGCCAGAACGCTGGGCTGAGGTCACACTATCACTTAACAGGAAGGAAAGAGTTTTAGGGTCCAACAAGGAAACTCGCCTATAGATTGCACTCCTGGATGGGACCCTTAAACTTGCAACATCACATGACTTGGAACATTTCTGTCTCATTTTACCTTTGAGGTTCAGAGCTATTATCTTCTCTTCTATCACAAAGTTCACTGGAATCTCATTCCCTCCTTCCCTCTTTCTTTTCTACCTTCCTTCCTTCCTCCCTCCCTTTCTTTCTTTTCTTTTTCTTTTTTTGTTTTTGTCGGTTGTGGGGCTTGAACTCTTGGCCTGGGCACTGTCCCTCAGCTCTTCAGCTCAAGGCTAGCATTCTACCACTTGAGCTACAGCGCCACTTCTGGTTTTCTGGTGGTTTATTGGAGATAAAAGTCTCATGGTCTTTCCTGCCCGGGCTGGCTTTGAACCTTGATCCTCAGATCTCAGCCTCCTGAGTAGCTAGGATTACAGGCCTGAGTCACCGGTGCCCGGCTCCCTTCCTTTCTTTCTTCCTTTCTCTTTCTCTCTTTCCTTCCTTCCTTCCTTCTCTCTCTCTCTTTCCTTCCTTTTCTTTCTTTCTTTCTTTCTCTCTCACTCTTTCTTTCTTTCTTTCGTTCTTTTCTTTCTTTCTTTCCTGAACTGAAGCAAGCTCAGGTCCTTCTTCCATTGAGCTAAATCCTTAACCCTTCTTTCTTTTCCCCCTAGTACTGAGGTTTGAACTCAAGCACTAGTTCTTGCTGAGCAGGTGCTTTACCACTAGAGCCACACCCACCCAGCCTTTTATGAGAGACTTTCTTTGAATGTAGTGTGACACTGGGATGTGGTAAGATCTAAATGTGCCAGATTGTGTGTGAGGGAGCGTGCAGTGAGAGTCGATCATGGGTATTTGTGAACTCTGATGCCATAGTAAGTTAGAAGATAAAGGAACTAGAGTCCAATTCGGTTATGGTCTGGTGGCAGCTGTGCTCCTGGTGTACTTTGCCGGAGGTTACCGTGCACGCACCATAGAGCCAGGATGCAGAAGTTATAGAGCCCTCGGCAAGACCGGGAATTTATATTCAAAGTAGGAGAAGGCTTCCTAACAAGCCAGCCATTTTCCTCATGGCTGCAAACCTCAGCCCAAAGTATCGCAGCCAGTCAGAAACCCACATGTACTCTCTCTCTCCCTCTTTCTGCCTATGCTGGACATGAACTCAGGGCCTGGGCACTGTCCCTTAGCTTTTCCCCTCAAGCTTAGAGCTCCATCACTGAGCCACAACTCCACTTCTGGCTTTTTGGTGGTTAATTGGAGGTAAGAGTCTCAGGGACTCTCCTGCTGGGGCTGGCCTCAAGCTTGAATCCTCAGCTCTGAACCTCCTGAGCAGCTAGGATTACAAGCTGAGCCACTGGTGCCTGGCTAGTTGGGTAGCTTTATTGCTGAGTATATGAACGTTCCTTCAGTTTGTTTTTCCCACAGCCATGGGGATTTTGACTCAAGTGCACCAAGCTATTCCTGTTTGGTGTGACTAGACCACAAGGACCCATGGATTGAGGAGTGGACACGGAGATCTCCTGTGAGTTGGGCAGCACAGCCTAAGGGGAGAGTAGGAGGACAAGGCTGCTACCTTGTCTGCTCATGTATGTCCAGGGACACGGAGGGAAGATACGTCAGTGCTTCCTGGAACCTGGGAAAGGGAACAAACAGTCCTCAAACCACAAAAATGTGAAAAAGCTTTCCCACTAAAAAAAAGTGGTATTTTTTTACTTCCTGCCTTCTTTCTCTCTCTCTATTTCTTCCTTCCTTCCTTCCTTCCTTCCTTCTCAAAGAGAGGGAGAGAGCAAGAAAAGGGTGACATTGTCCAAAAAGAAATGTACTCATTACCTGACTTATGTAACTACAATCCCTCTGTTTATCACCTTTACAATAGCAATGAGAAATAAGTAAACATTTAAAAAGCACCAACCATTGAAATAAAGTTAAATTTAAAAAGCACGTTTGGCCACTACAACAGATGGAATATGTCCATAGAGGAGCACAAAGAATGGTACAGATGGGAGCAGGTCCCCAGCATTTCCCAGCTGGCGAGAGGTGATGCAGCAAACCCCACAGTCGGTGTTAAAATAACGCTAGCTGGCACCGGTGGCTGACGCCTGTAATCCTAGCTACTCAGAAGGCTGTGATCTGAGAATCACAGTTCTAAGGCAGCCCAGGCAGGAAAGTCTGTAAGACTCTAATCTCCAATAAATGACCAAAAACAAACAAAAACTCCAAACCCCCAAACCCTACCCCAGAAGTGAAGCTGTGGCTCAAGTGGCAGAGGACTAGCCTTGAGCAAAATAAACTCAGGGACAGTGCCCAGACCCTGAGTTCAAGCCCCAGGATGTGAGTTTTCCTTAGTAATGAAAAGTACATCTCGGAGCTTTCCTAGTTCCTCCCGTGTCCTCTTCAACACAGCTCGCCCATGGCCAATGAGAAGCAGGACCTGCTTGAAGAGGCCCTGCCATTTCCCCCACCTCAGCCACAGCCACCCACAGGACCTAAGTCCCCTCTATCCCACACACTATCCAACAGGACCCTTTGCCCACAGGCCTGTCTTCTCTTTAGCGAAGAGGCCTTTGATCTCATTAAAGGTAGCTGGGGATGGAAGGCAGGGCCCTGAGCATGCTGGACTTGTGTTCCCCCTCCCTCCTCCCTGGCTGCAGCCCCAACCACACGTGGCATGTGTAGATCTAGGGCACATCTGTACTCAGGTCCTTATTTATTTGACTGATTGATTGCACTGGTACTGGGGCTTGAACTCAGGGCGTGGGATCTCTCCTTCAGCTTTTTCACTCAAGGCTGGTAGTCTACCAGGTGAGCCACACCCCCCACTTCCAGCTTTTTCATTGTTGTAGATTAATTGGACATAAAACGTATCAAGGACTTTTCTGTTCAGGCTGGTTTTGAACTGTGATCCTCAGATCTCCACCTCCTGAGTAGCTAGGATGACAGGTATCAGGAACTGCTAACAGCCTGCCCCAAAGCCCCCTCCACTCCCTCCATGTGCTGGGCGCCCAGCACCAAGCCCTGAAGTCAGCTCTAGTAGGCCACCAGCTGTGGGTCTGCACAGAGACAGGTCTGGGTCAGCTGACCACAGCCCACATCACAGCTGGAGCCTCTTCAGCAAGCCCACGTGCTCGGCGTGAAAAAAAACACGTGTGAAGAGCTCCATGTGAACTCCTCTAAAAGGACACATCCACTGCAAGCACCGTGCAAATCCATCTCTAATGCATGTCTACGTCTATGTGGATAAGCTAGGCCCGTGGGAGCCTGGGAAATCCCAAGTGCGTGGGTCGGGCTACATGTCATAGAGCCGGAGCTGTTCCTGCACGTCTCCGTCGGCCATCTCCCCGAACGTCTCCTTGTGGTCCTTCATGAGCTTGAAGATGGCAGCCAGCTGTTCCTTCTGAACTCTGTCGAGAAGAAAGGAGAAGAGGAAGAAGGTGTTTCTCACCTCGGGGGTGGGCTGGGGCACGCTCCTCTCGTTGGCTACTGCCTTTGCTTTCTGGAAGGAGGGGAACTCCAACACCAAGCAAACCTTACCAACCATGCAGGAGCAGTTTGCCCAAACACACTCAACCCTGAGATTCCCACTCTTTGGTGGACCGTGGAGGGTTCACTTCGACTCATCGTGCCTCAGTTTCCCTCTGGGCCACACTTCATTATTGACTCTTACAGTGAGACGAGGAGGAAGAGAGCATGCCCCTTTAGGGTCTTGTCATCCTAGGAAGATCCAGGTTAGAAATGGTTTCAGACGAGCCAAAGATGGAGGAAGAGCAAGATCTTATTGGGTGATGGGATCATCCAGATGTGAGCATCCAGACAGTCAGGCCACAGGGTGGGTGGGCTGAAATCCAGCCCATGGGATTTCCCTGCTCAGAAAAAAGAGGCGCCTTTTTCTATTTAGCACAGAGGTGTCCCTTGGCCACCAGGCTGCGGCCCCACCTTCCTACCCCCAAAACACTGGGAAGGTCAGCTGGGGGTGAACTAGTCTTGGTTCAACTCCAACTCTGTTATCTTTACGAGGCTCCGCCACACCATCTGACGAGCATAGGACAACACCCCTAGCAAACAGGAAGCAGCCGGAGTTAGGCGAAGTGTATGGTTTTGTTTGTGCCATCCTGTACTGGACAGCAAGGCTGGCTACTGCGTCCTGGCTCTGGCCTACAGTTCCGGTTCTTTGCTTCTGAAGTTCCTGCTCTCCACACCGTACCTCCTGGCACCTTGAGCGAACCTAAGCCACACTGTGTACTCCAGTCTCTCAGCCAGGGCCAGGCTGCAGGCCCCAGTGGCGGGCTGCCCACACCCCCACCATTACAGGAAGGCTAGTTCCTTAGAGCTGGGATTTTTGCTCATCCTAACACATTTCTTTGCTATAAATCCTCCCCTCCTGAATCCCAAATCCTCCATCCAGCAAGCAGTGGGCTTTGCTGTGTGGCTGTAGCATCAAGAAGCGGAAATGAGGCTGGGTGCCGGTGGCTCACACCTGTCATCCTAGCTACTCAGGAGGCTGAGATCTGAGGATAGAGGTTCAAAGCCAGCCCAGATAGGAAAGTCGGTGAGACTCTCATCTCCAGTGAACCACTAGAAAACTGGAAATGGGCGCTGTGGCTCAAAATGGAAGAGCAAGCGCTAGCCCTGAGCTAAAGAGTCCAGGGACAGAACCCAGGCCCAGATTTCAAGCCCCACGACCACCAAAAAAAAAAAAAAAGAGGTTGACATGCAGAGATTCTGGTTGGAAGAGGGGCTCAAGGAAAGGGACCATGAACCCAGGAGAGGGTGTGCTTGAACCCCCAGATGGAGCCACAGTCAGGCACGTGTGCGGGCATCTCCCCGAAAGAGTACAAGCTATTTTGTGTGTATTTTCTGGCTGCAGAGTAGCTTTGCATTTTAAACACAGAGAGCACACAACTTCATACTCTACTAGGGAGTAAAAGCTATCAATGAAAATTTCAAGTTATTGGTTTTCGAAGAGATTATTTTTAAACCCAAGGTAAACAGAAAAAAAAACACACAGTAATCAAGGTCATCTATGAAACAGTTTATTGGACTGAAGAAAGGCTGGATATTCACAGCCAAGTTTCAGGAGTGTGTGAGGCTTGCTGTACAGGCCAAGTTCAGAAACCTACCTACCTAGATTGAGAAGTCACTACTTTCTAGAAGGTTCCAGCCTAGATAGAGGTGTTGCTATTGCTATTCAAGATTGAGTGAGTACATGTGTTCATCTCGTGGCTCTGTGTCCTAAGTTGGTTGCCTGTTCTTCGAATCCCCGAACCCGAGACTTTAGGCTCAAGGACGCTTTCTGCCTCAGGAGCTGGCCTTCCATGGAAGGCCATTTTCAGAAAACTTACTGCTCTACAAAAAATATTCTCACCAACAAAATCTAAGAACTACAAAGTCGTTTTTGGTATAGTATAAATACTGTCAAATACAAAATTCCAGCACGCTAACCTAGAACAGATCTGATGATCTGCGGAAGTACTACCTAATCTATCAATCTCACTATGAAAAAAAAATGCATAGTCTGGAAACCTATTTCTCTTTACAAACACTGTTTTATGGCTTCGGCAAAGCAAAAGTGGGAAATGTGGCTGAGCTAGTCAGAACTTCAGTTAAAAAAAAAAAAGGCCTCTTTGTAATTAAGAGGGCTGGACCTGAGCCTCCTCTGGGTGGGAAAAAGAACCCAGTGCCAGGGGCTGGGAAGGTGGCTCAGTGGTAGAGCGCTTGCCTTGCATGCCTGAGGCCCTGGGTTTGATTCCTCAGCACCACATAAGCAAAAAGAAAAAAGCCGGAAGTGGCGCTGTGGCTCAAGTGGTAGAGCGCTAGCCTTGAGCTGAAGAGCTGAGGGACAGCGCCTAGGCCCAGAGTTCAGGCCCCACAACGGGGACCCCCCCCCCCCAAAAAAAAAAGTACCAGCAAAAAAAAAAAAAAAGCACTCAAGGGGCTGGGAAGGTGGCTCAGTGGTAGAGCGCTTGCCTTGCATGCCTGAGGCCCTGGGTTTGATTCCTCAGCACCACATAAGCAAAAAGAAAAAAGCCGGAAGTGGCGCTGTGGCTCAAGTGGTAGAGTGCTAGCCTTGAGCTGAAGAGCTGAGGGACAGCGCCCAGGCCCAGGGTTCAGGCCCCATGTCCGGACCCCAAAAAAAAAAAAAAAAAAAAAAAAGAACCCAGTACCAGGACAGCACACCCCAGCCCCAGAGAGAGCAGGAGAGATGGAGGGCAGCAGACGGTCCCTGATGGAGCTGGTACCCACAGGCCAGCCCAACCTCAATTATCTGCCAGTCCCTAAAGTCTGTGGCTTGGAGGGCAAAAAGAGGGGTGCTGGGTTCAACTCTACTGTGATTGGAAGTGTTGGAGCTGATGCAATCGGAGGTATCTTGGGGGTGGGGGGGTGTGAAGGAAGGATGTATAGGGAGCAAATCCGAGTTCAAGGTCTGAGCTGACACTCGATGCACCTAAGTGGAGTGACCATCTCCAGAGAGCAGCACCAAAGGCATCCCCAAAGATGCTGCTAGCCAAGGGGAAGTCCTGACAGGGGTCAGCATCTCCGCGCCCCTCCCCTCCGGGGTGGGGGTAGGGGGCAGGCTCCTCTCTGGGGGACTTCCACTTTTATCTCTCAAGCTTTTAAGATGCCAAAAGGAAAAAGCCTTCTGGGGGAGGCTAAAGACAACTTCATTATTCTTCAGTTCTGCAGAGAGAAACAGGAAGAAAGAGAATGTGTTTTACTCGGTACATCTCGCAGGTCTGTGGGTGTGGAGAGGGGGCCGTGGGGGTGGGGAAGGAGGATGTTTGGGACTGCAGAAGCCATCCTGGAGTGCATGGTGAGTTCTCACACACCCAGCCTGCCCCCATCACCAGCAGCCACACAGCCTCTGAGGCCTCCTGGACAGGAGCTGGACGGTCCAGTTGATCTTTGCTGTGTGGCTACACTAGCGATGTTTCTCCTACCCTAGATCATTCCTGTGGGAACTGGCATGCTAGGACGTGCATCCCCCTGGAGGCCGCAAAGCAGTGCCCAGCCGCAGGGAATTGGTGGAGCACGCACCGGGGACCTGATTTTGTGCCTCTGGCGCCCTCTCCTGGAGACTGCAGTCAGCGTGCATTTCCAGACACTGTCCTGAGACGGAAGAACCAGAACCGCGCTTGGCAGTGTGGTTCCTCCGCTGCCCTTTTCCTTCCTCACTTCCGCCTACCAAACCCCTGGTCTGTTGCTCTAGGGTCACATCCATTTCCAGACAAGTTGGCGCAGCCCTGTGGGCCTGCAGATGGAGGGGCAAGGGGTGCGGCTGGCCTGGCAGTGCCAGCCTAGCCTCCTAGCTGGGTCTACTTCCCCTGTGATCCAGGGGAGCTTACAGCTGTGCCTGTATTTTTTTTTTCTGGCCAAGCTAGGAAGCCAGGCCAGGCTTGCCAGCTTCACGAGTCCTGCAGGGGGTGAGGCCTGTGGTCTGGGAGCCGTCGTCAGCCTGCAAGCCGACCATCCCAGCCGCACTGAGCTGGAGGTAACTCTCCTGGAAGTGCAGATTTGACACTCAGAGGCGGAGCCAGTGGGGAGAAGCACAGGACCCTGCAGTCCCCCAGGCGGACCCCGAGGCGAGCACTGGGGGCACTCTGCGGGGGCAGCAGCCCCACCTCTGGCCTGCAAACCTGGCCACTTCCAGCCCCTGGGCTGTTCCTGCGTTGGGGACGTGCAGTTGAGCTCCAGGGAGCCCTCACTTGGGGCCCTCTGCTTCCAGTCCTGCCTCCCCAACACCTGGCTCCAAAAGCCACTGCAGAAGTGGGCAGGGGCTGGGGCTGGGTCTTGGGCTGGGTCTTGGGCTCGGGCTTGGGCTGGGGCTGGGGCTGGGGCTCGGGCTTGGGCTGGGGCTTGGGCTGGGGCTCGGGCTTGGGCTCGGACGCGGCCAGCGTGCATGCGTGGAGGTGGGAGGAGGTGCGGCGTTTCCGTGGGAACCGGCTGGCCCCCTGGGCTCTGAGCAGAGGACCACAGGGACAGCTGCACCCGCTGGCCCCGGGGCTCAGGCAGTTGACAATGACCTGCACGCAGTTTCCAGAGGACAGTGCTAATGTGGCTCCCAGGACTGCCGGGCAGCCCTGAGAGCTCTATCACGAAAGACTAAGGCAAACTGAGCAGCCTCTGCAACCCAAGCATCCCTGGAGGGGGGACGGGAGGGGCCCCCAGGCAGCCGCGGGCTGGGGCCCCATGCAGGAAGGAGCAGGCAGAGGAGGCAGGCATGCACATGCAGGGTGGGGTGATGGCGGGATGAACATGAACTCCAGCCCCTCCTCAGCTCCAGGTGCACAGTGTGCAGATGAGGCGCAGGGACACCTTCCTCACACCCAGAGCACCTCCTCAAGAGGTCTTCAAGTGTGGGTGGTGGTCCTGAGAACGGTGGAGGAGACCTGGGGGGGTCCGCAGACACCCCCACCACCCCGGCCCATGGGCAATGCAGTCTACTGTCTGTAAACGACACAGAGCCCTTCTCGCTCCCAGTCTCTGGGTCCTGGCTCTGGATATGAAGGCAGTGGCAGTCTGCCCCCCCCCCTCCCCTGCACCATCCGCTCCCTGGTCTCTCCTAGTCTAATGGCCTCTCCATAGTCACAGAAGGTAGACAGAAGGAGGCAATGGCACTGTCACAGCCGCTGTCCACAGGGACCTTAGAAGATGGCGGCTGCTGAGCCCGCTCTGTCTCTCATCCCAGAAGCTGTGAGCCACCCTTGTCTGCTGCCCCTGGTCAGCTCTGCTGCTGAGCCACAGACCACAGGGCCAGTGGAACGGCTGCACTCACAGCAGCTGGTAGGGTCGCGTGGGGCCCAGCCTGGTCTGCAACTCGGATTCCAACAACCAAACCTGTCCACCCTGCCACACAGGAGCAGACAGGGCTGCATGTCCAATCAGAGACCTCACCTTCTCCGGGTGAGATGGAGGCTACATGGCGACCTAAGGAGACTCACGGTGATGCCGTCCACAGCTCTGGGGGGTGATGTGATGCCCCCCAGGCTCACAGGGGGAGAGAGGCACTAGCCTCCAACCAGCTGGTCCAATAGGCCTGCCAGGAACTTAAGTGAACCTCCAGGACCTATTCCTCGGTGCCCAGAGATCTCATGCAGAAAAATGAGGTGGAAACGCGTTAATCGGTTATGGGGGTGATGAAGGGAGGTGGCGCAGCCCACGTTGGTGATGCTGGGGACACATCAGCAGACAATGAGGGAAGCACCACTAGTCTAAGAAACCGATCTTCTTACCAAAGGGTGTGCAAGAGCATTTGTGGCTCAGGACCTAGGGAACTTGCTAGAGGGAAGTGAGGTCAGAGGTCAGCTCAATCCTGAAATATAAAGGCAGCAGATGGGGGGGGTGTCAAACCAAGAGGCAGCGTGCTCAGCATGGAGAAGCCGAGGCCCCCCACAGAGCGGCTCGCGGGCACTGCCAGCCTCACCCCTGGGTGAGGAGCCCCCCTGCAAAGCCAGAGCTAGGCAGGCAGAGGCTGCGGGGTGGCGGGGTGCAGCCACAGGCGGGTGGTTGAGCTGCACATTTCAGTCGCTCTGCCCTCTGCGTACAGCTCCCGCTGAGACAGGGCTTGAACCACAGGCTCCAGACCCCACTGCGCAGGGCAGCGCGTGCACGCGTGGAGGGCAGTGTGTGTGTGTGTGTGTGTGTGTGTGTGTGTGTGTGTACATAGCGGCAGCCTACAGCCAAGGAGCAGAACAGATAGATAATAACACCACTGCCAGCACTGGGGGGGGGGGGGCGGCGGGGGGGGGGGGGGGGAGGAGAGCTGTTAGATGGATGAGCACCAAGAATCCCGGCTCTGTCTCCAAGTGATAAATTGGTTTTGTCGTGGACTGTACATGTAAGTGAACAGCTGGGTCTGTTCCCAGCTTTCTTCTGGCATCTCATTCTCTGTTTATGGTGGGGGAGAGTGGGGTGGAGCTAATGCTAGACGCGGGCCCTAATGCCCCCCCCTTCCGCCCCCGCCCCCCTAGAGCTCCTTGCTTGATTGCAGCCTGGCTGAACTGCCAGGATAGGAAAGAACCCCAAACCAAGAGGGATGGAGACTCCGTGGAGGCGAGGTGTGCAGGAGCCCCGCCCCTCCCCTGGCCCCACCCCTCGGTGCTCTAAAAGCCCCGCCCCCAGAGCCTTGCCTACCTCTGCTCCTCCTCCAGCTCTTCTTTGGTCATCATCTTCTTGTACTGGTTTCCTCTCAGTTGGCCCGGGCGGTACTTAAAGGAGAAGGCCTCTGCTACGGAGGGAGCCAAGAGTGAGCCATGGCCATGTAGGTCTTCCCTCGCCAACAAGGAAACCCCACGTGATTCCCTTCACCACCTTGACCTCTTCCATCTCTCTGTAGTGCAGAGCTAGGAAGTGCTCTACCACTGAGCGACAGCCCCAGCCCTCTGACCAAGAGGGGCAGGCCGGTCCCATGCCTGACCCCTGGGCCTGCTTGGGAACAGTCCCAGCCCCTGAGGTACCAGGAGCTCCCCTGAGCGCCTGCACCCAAGCTCATCCCATCCCTTTCCATGGAATGCTGTGGCTCCTCACAAACCTTATTCCCAGCGGGGGCGGGGGGGCACACAGGTGAAAAGGAGACACCGCCCCCTCCATGGGATCTGCCCTCTCCAAAATGACACTTTGCTCCCCAGCAAACAGCCCAGTGTCTGCAGGGCTCTCTGTCCCTCCTCTCCCTGTGCTGCTGTGCGCCACGCGGGCAGCTCCTCTTCCAGTTGCTATTCTAGAAGTGTTCTATAAGTATTTCCTGCTGCCCCTGCGGGGTCAGGAGCTGCCGCCTCCACACGTCTCCTCAGGACAGGCCTGGCCACCTTGACCTCTAGCTGGTGGCAGTCACATCCCATCAGGCAGGCTGAGGGGGGCTCAGAAGGCAAAGGCCTCTGGGAGGAGGGGTTCTCTCTGGGCTGTGAGGAAGAAGGTTCTAGCTATAAATTCAGAAGAGGTTGATTCCCTGTTGTCCACACCTCACTCAGGTCGGAACTGGTGGCTTCCTGCCACCCCGCCAGCTGCCCAGGGACTGGGGCTAGGAAGCCATCACTACATCTGCCCCTAACTTCTCATTCATTCCACAGACACTCAGTGCTGGGGACACCAAAAGAAGTTACTAGAACTTCCAGGAAGCAGATGCCTCCAGGCTTAGCGCTAGAAGCTCCATGCCTCCTGGCTGGTGGCCACCAGGAGCTTCTCCTGGTTTGGACAGATAAGGCCCAGAACCTGACCGCTACCCTGAGGCAACGTGGATCCTGGGGAGCAGGGAGCCAGGATGCCAGGGGCATCCCCCAAACTCACTCACAGTCCTGGCGGCGGCAGCTGCAGATCGAGCTACCACCAACCCTCGGTGTGGACCCAGCAAGGACAATTGACAAGGAAAACCAGCGCCTTTGCGGGGGGGGGGGGGGGGTCCCCTGCGTCGCTGTGCCAGAACGGTGAGCCTGAAAACTAGCCATGGACAGGGGACCAGGTGATGCATGGCCACATCCAATTCTGCTGGCCCAGGAGGGTTCAGCCCGTGAGTCCCAGGGGAGCAGAGGAGCCCGCCGGCCCCCCCTCCAGTCTGTCAACCTACCCCACCCCACCGCTTGCATGGCTTAGGGAAGTCATTTTAGCGACACTAATCAATTAGCCTGGGACACTGAGCTGCTCCCTTCGGAGGGGGCCGGGACCCCTCCCCCTCAGGCTGCCTCCTGACAGCTGCGGCCAGCAGCCCCCTCCCTCCGCCCTGTTAGAGTGGAGGAAGGCTGGGGGCTGGGGAACAGCTCCACGTGGGGCTGTGCATCTGTGAAGATGAGGACCCTTGAGCTAGGACGGCTGACAGGGGGTCACCCTGTCTCCTCGCTTCAGCCTCCTTTCTGTGTCATTACCCACAGCCCTGCTGAGCCTCTGGCTATGCTCCTGCCAGTAGCTAGCTTAATGCCACAAACAGGCTTGCTTAAAAAAAAAAATGTGTGTGTGTGTGTGTGTGTGTGCCGATACTGGGGCTTGAACTCAGGGCCTGAGCGCTGTCCCAGAGGCTAGAACTCTGATACGCCTCTACTTCTAGCTTTTTTGGTCCTTCATTGGAAATAAGAGTTTCACATATTTTCCTGCCCAAGATGGCTGCCAAGTGCCATCCTCAGATCTCAGCATGCTGAGTACTTAGAGTTACAGGCATGAGCCACTGGTGCCCAGCTGCTAAACCTGCTTTTTAGTTAATTAATTTTTTTGGTGGTACTAGGGTTCCAATTCAGGACCTTATGCTTTCCAGACAGGCATTCTACCACTTAAGTCATGCCCCGGCCTTTTGTGGTTTATCTACGAGATAGGGCCTTGCATTTTTGCCTAGAACAGCTTGGACTGCTGTCCCCCTATTTATACCTCCCCCACAGCTGAGATGATGAGTCATGCCATGGTGCATAGGTTTTTGTTAAAATGGGTTCTTTTTGTTTGGGTTATCCTGGAAACTTGATCCTCCAGATCTTTGCCTCCTCCATAGCTGGAACTTTAGGTGTGAGCCACCATGCCTGGCAGGATTTTTTTTTTTTTTTTGGATCCGGTTGTGGGGCTTGAACTCCGGGCCTGGGCACTGTCCCTCAGCTCTTCAGCTCAAGGCTAGCGCTTTACCACTTGAGCCACAGTGCCACTTCCGGCTTTTTTCTGCTTATGTGGTGCTAAGGAATCGAACCCAGGGCCTAATGCATGCAAGGCAAGCACTCTACCACTGAGCCAACTTCCCAGCCCCATGGCAGGATTTTTTTAAATTAGAAATATGTACTTGCAGGCTGGGAAGGTGGCTCAGTGGTAGAGTGCTTATCTTGCATGCATGAGGCCCTGGGTTCAATTCCTCGGTACCGCATAAGCAGAAAAAGTTGGAAGTGGCACTGTAGTTCAACTGATAGAGCCCTAGCCTTGAGCTGAATTGCTCGAGGACAGTGCCCAGGCCCAGAGTTCAGGCCCTATGACTGGCAAAAAAAAAAAAAAGAAAAAGAAAAAGAAATATGTACTTGCTGTGCAGATCTGAGAAGTGTGGCCATTCTGTTATTTTCTGCTCCAGTTTCTTTTGGAAGGAAACAGAAGCCCTATCTACTGTTTTGTTTTTGTTTTGTCGGACATGGGGCTTGAACTCTGGGCCTGGGCTCTGTCCCTCAGCTCTTCAGCTGAAGGCGAGCGCTCTCCACTTGAGCCACAGTGCCACTTCTAAGGTTTTTGTGGGTTTGTTTTTGTTTCTATCCACTGTTTTGTTCTGCCTGTCGTTTTGTCCTGCCTGTCTGTTTAGAGCTACTTGCAACCCATGGGTTTCTGCTGTGTTCTCTCCCTCCCTCAGTCCTCCTGGAATGAACAACACAGGCCTGGCAGTACGTGTCCAGTGCTCAGGGGTTGGCAGACCCCCCTCTCGTCTGCATCAGCGCCAGCCAGAGATGGCTTTCCAGGGCTTTCCTTTCACTCACAAGGCGGTGGTGAGGTATTTGGAGAGAAACGTGAGATTCACTTGGGTGGGGAGGGGAACGCTGAAGGCTGAGCAGAGGCCACTGAGCTTTTCCTCACAAGAGGCCCAATGCCTGGAGACAGGCATTCCACAGCAGCAAGGAGGGACCAAGGAAGGACCGGGAGGGCAGAGGAGGTGGGTGGTAGGCTAGGCCCTGGCCTGGGCACCCCCAGTCCCCTCCCACCACCAGCACTGGGCAGATCCGGCTGGGCCCCTCAGAGTCAGGCAAGGACTGCAGTGCAGGCAGGGCCTACTCACCATCCTCTTCCTCGGGCCCTGCAGGGGGCGGGTCCTTCTCGCTGTCGGAGTCCGGCTCCTCTTCCTGCAAGACAATGACAGGGTCAGGGCAGGCAGAGGGCGGGCCAAAGTTCAGCTCTGGCGGAAGATGGGGTAGAGGCGAAGCCATTCTCAGGAGATGTGAACTGCCTTCCAAGATGGGGACATGGGGGGCGGGAGGGGGGGAGGAGAGCCTCAGAGGCCCACTGAGGCGGCATCTAGCAGCAGCGCCTGTCCTGGACGTGGAGGCTGTGCTGTCAGAGCACGTGGGGGTTGGAGGCTGATGGGGGCTCCTGGTTCAAGAAAGATGTTCCTTTTTTGTTGTTGTTGCCAGTCCCGGGGCTTGAACAACTGGGCCTAGGTGTGGTCCCTGAGCTCCTTTTGCTCAAGGCTAGCACTCTACCACTTGAGTCACAGTGCCACTTCCGGCTCTTTCTATGCATTTGGTCCTAAGGAATCGAATCCAGGGCTTCCTGAATGCTAGGCAAGCACTCTACCACTCAGCCCCCTTCCCAGCCGGAAAGACGTTCCTGTACCTGCACCCTTAGGACTTCAGCCTCGACCCTGGCCAGACAGTGCTGTCTGGGAACTTGGGTGCCGTTGCTGGGCGGGGCTGGGAGTCCCACTGCCCATTTGCAGGGATTAGTGAAACAGAAGCACTGAGAAAGCTGGCTGGGCTGGGCTGCCCAGGGACCTTGGCCCTTAGCGCAGGCTGTGAGAAAATGGCTAGTCTCTCCCTCCCCCTCCCCCCTCTCTTTCTTTGGGGACAGGGGAGAGGGAGGGGCTGGAGACAGAGTTCATATGTATCCTGGGCTGGTCTTGAACTGGAGGCCCTCCTTCCTGCCTCCCCTTCCCTGGAACTCTAGACTGGCGTCTGCAGGCTCAGACCACCACGCCTGGCTGATGTCATCTGCTATCGCTAACCCTTTGTGTCCATTTTCCCAAAATTGGAACTCCACCTCTCCAGCCCATCTCGCCCACACAGGAAACTCGATACACAGATGCGAGAGGAGTCCTGCACTGGGGTGGCCCGGGCAGAAGGAAGGAGTGACTTCAACTGGCAGGAATGAGGATGACAGGGACGGGGATGGGCGGTGAGGGGAGAGGAGGACGGGCTGAAGGAAGAGACTTGGAAGTGTGGCTGGCAAACGTGGACAGGAGGCAGATTCAAGAAGGAACACAAGTCCTGGACAAATGCAAACCTAGGCCCTGGGCAGCCTGGGGCCCCCGGGGGCTAGACAGGCCGTGGCGGTGTGACTCCCCAATAGAACGGCCTGCGCTGAGCTGAGCCAGGAGGCAAGGCTTTCTCTTTCACCGTGAGTCACAAATGGCAAATGCCTGAGCCTTGAGCTCTTCAAAGAAGCTTCCTGTGCCCCACAAAATGCTTCCTGGAGGGTCTGTATGTAACAGTGTGGCCGGGGGCGGGGGGGGGGGGCAATACCTTCCCGATTTTGTACAGCAAAGTGTGTGGCTGCAGGGATCCAGGCAGGTCCCGTCTCGGCTCAGTGATGGAGCACACCCGCCTCTAAGGATCTGCCTCCAGTCTGGAAACATGTCTATTAAGATGGATACAATGAGCCAGGCGCTCTCACACCTGTGGTCTGAGCTACTCAGGAGGCTGAGAGCTGAGGACCGAGATTCAAGGAAGCCAACCTAGACAGAAAGTCCATGAGACTCTTATCTCCAGTTAACCAGCAAAAAGCCAGAAGTAGCTACAGTGGTAAAGCACCAGCCTTAAGCAAAAAAGCCAAGTAAGAGTACAAAGCCCTGAGTTCAAGCCCTGTATACACACACACACACACACACACACACACACACACACACACACACACACTTATACAATGACTCTTTGTGAGGCAGAAACCCAGACAGAGCTGGAGATAATGAAATGTTGATCCACAGAATTAAGTATCTTCTGGCTAAGTATATCTGGTGAACAGTGAACAAGTTCACTCAGACATTCCCTAGTCTGTTGTATCACAGGGCATGCGTACCAAGCAGTGCTGAGCATCCACAGAGGTATCTGTGTGTGCAGATGGACAAGGGCCCTTGATAGGCCAATCATGCAGAGGCAGGGGTGTGGCCTGAGGGGGTAGAGCACCTGCCCAGCAAGCGCCAGGCCCTGAGTTCAAACCCCAGTACTGCCGAAGAGAGGGAAAGAGAAATCTGAGGGAAAGCGGCAATGTGCAGGGTGTTGGGTACTCTTGGTGCAGGCATGAGGAAGGGAGTCAGCCCTGTGCTGGGAAGTACAGGCAGAAGTCTGCCCACTGTGGCTACCTGTGGGGAAGAGGGCGTGGGGAAGGCTGGTCTTGGGGAAGTCTGGTCTTTCTGCATTGTTAGTTTTTATTGAGGCCATTCAGGAGGGTCCTAATGTTTCCCCCTCTTCCCTCCCTTTTTTGGTGCTGGTTCTGGGGCTTTGGGCCTTGTGTTCTCATTCAGCTTTTTCCGCTCAGGACTGGTGGATCTCAACCGCTTGAGCCACACTTCCACTTCTGACCTTTTGTGCTAGTTAACTGGACATAAAGGGTCTCATAGACTTTTCTACTCAGGGTGGCTTTGAACTATGATCCTCAGGTCTCCTGAATGGCTGGGATTACAGGCATGAGCCACTGCGCCTGGCACTGTGGTCCTCCTGAAGGGAAGTCTGTAGGCACACAGGACCTCAGGCATGCATAGACAAAAGGCCCCTTGAAGGCTTCAGGGAGCAGCCTGCCACCGCCATTGTGCTGGGCTTCGGACTTGATGCAGAGCATCTGGAAAATAAATGTCTACTGTTGAAGCAGCCAGGCTGTGGTATTTGACCACAGCAGCCCTGCCAAACGACTACAGCCTGCTTTCAGGAAAGCAAGCCACATTCATGAAAACTTTGCCCCCGAGACATAGAGCTGATGGCACCCCAAGGCAGGCTGGGCCTCGAGAACTGTGAATCGCCGCCCCCCCCCCCCCCCCCCCCCCGGCAGGCAGGGTGAATGCACAGCCAGTCTCCACACACACCAGAGACCCAGCTTATCCTTACGGAATGGAGACATTGGATTGTGTGGTTTTTGTTTTGAACTGTTAGTCCTGGGACTTGAACTCAGGGCCCGGGTGTTATCCCTGAACATTTTTGCTCAAGCCTAGTGCTCTACTACTTGAGCCACAGCTCCACTCCTGGCTTTCTGGTGGTTAATTGGAGGTAAGAGTCTCATGGACTTTCCTGCCCAGGCTGGCTTTGAACTGAGGTCCTCAGATCTCAGCCTCCTGAGTAGCGAGGATGACAGGTGTGAGACACCAGTGCCCGGCAAAACCATGTTTCAATAGCAAGTACTCTGGGCTAGTTTCCCAATTGGGCTTTTTCCTCCACTGAGGTAGGAGAGGCAGAAGAAAGGGCACTGCCTCCCACTGCCAGGACTGGAGACTGAGCACAGAGCCGCAGAGGGGACGGCAGCTTCTCCAGACCACTGAGGCTCCACTGGCCCACTGCAGGCAGCACATGGCCATTTATGGCTGCCCTGGCTGACGGCAGCGTGATGGGGTGGCTGGGGCGGGGCTCAAGTGGTAGAGCAGCTGCTGAGAAGTGTGAGGCCCTCAGTTCACACTCACTGCAAGAAGGGACAGGGAAGAGGTAGAGATGGATGTCTGTCTGTCCCTGGCTGCTGGGGAAGTTGCCTGGCTCTGGCTGGGGTGGTCCTGTCCTGGGTCCTGCAGGGTCTGGGATTTGCCCCTTTGGTCCCCAGTCTCCTGCGGTGCCTACTTAAGAGTCTTCCTGAACCTCTGCCTACTCTCCTCCAATTCACTCTGCTTTGAGAACACATTAAAATCCCACCTTGGGGCTGGGAAGGTAGCTCAGTGGTAGAGCGCTTGCCTTGCATGCCTGAGGCCCTGGGTTCGATTCCTCAGCACCACATAAGCAAAAAGAAAAAAGCTGGAAGTGGCGCTGTGGCTCAAGTGGTAGAGCGCTAGCCTTGAGCTGAAGAGCTGAGGGACAGAGCCCAGGCCCAGAGTTCAGGCCCCATGACCAGACCCCAAAAAAAAAAAAAAAATCCTACCTTGCTGGGCACTGGAGGCTCACACTTGTAATCCCAGCTACTCAGGAGGCTGAGATCTGAGGATGGATGTTCAAAGCCAGCCTAGGTGGGTAAAGTCCCTGAGACGCTAATCACCAATTAACCATCAAAAAAGCTGGAAGCAAAGCTGTGGCTCAAGTTGTAGCGTGCTAGCCTTGAGCAAAAAAGCTCAGGAACAGTGCCCAGGCCCTGAGTTCAAGCCCCAGGACCAGCACAAAACAAACAAATCACAATATATTTAAAACCTTTGATGATCTCCCAGCAATCTGGTTTTTAGTTGCACACTTCCGGAAGCCCGTTACCTTATGGTGTAGTCTGCCTCTCTAGGCCATAGTAACAGCTCTGGAGCAGGTTCTGCAGGCAGAAGCTGATGTGCTAAGCTCAGGGTAGAGATGAGGAATTGATGCCTGCCGCAGGCAGAAGCCTTTCTTTCTTCCTGTGGGTTTTTCCACTTATTCACTTAACAAGAACACCCCGGAGCCCACTGGTGTGCCGGCGCTGGGGATGTGGTGCAGGGGCAGACAATGCACACTAAAATAAAAGATGATCTCACGCTGAATTAAATGCACTGAAGAAAGCCAGACAGGATGGGATGGCTGGAGAGAGGGGAGGAGGGAAGAGGAGGGAGGCGGCGACTTTCCATCTGATAGAGGACCCAGGCTGGGAGGGTTATACCAGGAGGAGACAGACACTGGAGGGTCCAGCCCAGGCGCCAGCCCAGGGTACTGAGCACCAGGAAGGCGCCTGTGGCTGCAGAGCTCAGGAGGGAGCAGGCTGCAGGATGGAGCTCTTGGAGCTGGGCCCTGGGGTGGGGGTACATGGGGCATCAGAGAGCCCCAGAGGAGGGGGGCTTGGAGAAGCACAAGCTGGGCCAGCCAGCCAGGAAAGCGGTGCTCCTACGGGATGCACGGAGAGGCAGAGATGACGGGAGCTGGGCGAGAAGGAAAATAGACCAGGACCGGCCTGGGCTTCTGGCCTGAGCAGTAGCGGGAGTTGTGGT